TTCCAAAAAGCAAGAAGGGTAAACAGGTGAGATAGGTAGTAGTAGTAATTGACTCAAAGGTGATAAAGCACTTGCAGAGCTATCTGTGTAAAGACAACTTGGTAGTCGACTTGGCATGTACTTTTGCTATCCCAGGTAAAAGCAAAGGTGCAACCTTTAGTGGAATTTCTCCCTTCAGGTTGCATTTCCAAAGCATTTACTTAGTAAATATTTCTTAGGGAAGTCAGATGAAATAATTCCATGCAGTGCTATATTTGAAAATACTTATGACATTTCTGAAGTATATTTATGGAAGGTGTTGCTCACTAACAATTTATTTGGCAGTAACCTTATTTTACTTTCCTTTATTTGTCAAGAAAATAAGCTAATAAAATCACATTCAGAAAATTTGCTTAATTTCTTTTTTTCATAATTCATTTTATCATGAGCACAGTATATTGTTATCAATAACCTTAAAAGGATGAAGAAAAGAAGAAATAAGATGAAACAGAACTGTCTTTTTCCCCCCAGAGATATTATAGAAATAGTTTGGTGAGAGTTGAGGGATTTTTGCATGAAATGAGAGTAGTGGAGTTGGGAGTAGAGTGGTGATAAGTAAAGGAAGTTGGCAAAGCATGAAAACTTGCCAAATGAATGGTGAAACATTGTTATTGTAATTATCTAAGAGAAGAAGCTGACATTCCATGCAATTTTAGGGTAATCCCTAAACAAATTAATATGAAAATATTGATTTGGTGGTGGTTCTAGGAAAGGGGATCACTGATGCAATTTTAACCTTACAGTAGTAGTTGCTGAAAAAGTGGAAAAAGAGGTTAGGATTCTGGGAGCATTCAATAGAGTATTAGGCACAAAGTGGGAAGGTGTTCTATGAAAAAGTAGGTACCAGAAAAATGCGGGTCTGCTGATGATGGATATGTATGACGGGATAAGGATACAATTTAAAAGTAATGTTGATAAAACTGGGTGGTACCCAATTAAGGTTGGACTATCCGTGGGACCTTTATCATTAACTTGCTTATGATATTATTATAGATGGTTAGCTAATGGTTACAAAAAATGATATGCTAGACATCAAAGTTCATATAGCACTATAAAAAGTAGTGAAAAGGTTAAAGAGGAGGGTTGTTGATGATTTAATGTGCTCCATGTCAAAAGTTGTAGAGCAGTTTGGGATAGTATGGTCTTGAAAGGGGTAACTTTACCACCCTTTACTGTACCTTCCTATAGTGCTATATGGCCTTAGATGTCTAGCACATTTATTTTAACTTTAACCATTAAGCATCAACCATTGAAAGGGGTAAAGAGGGGTGAGGATGGGATTCTGTATGGATTCCATGATGTAATGGGATTAAAAGAGGGGAAAGAGTGGGATAATGGCAAGGAGGGAGAGGATCAGGGAGTAATTTGTGTATTCATGATGGAGCAGAATAGATAACTAGGAAGGAAAGGGGGGATGATATAGATGAAGCGGGGGTGGGGGCGCATGAGCAGGAGGAGGATGGTTGTCAGCAGTCACTCCGAGTGTAGACAGAATGGAAGCTGAGAGTTAGGAGGATACATGGGGTATAGGCATGTTCTCTTGGGTCATAATTAGATAGCTTTGGATGGCCTCAAGAGTTTCTGAAACGGAGTTAGGTAAAAGATAGGATGTTTGAGTAGCAGAGGAAGGAGTAGGTTTAGGAGAGGATGTGGTAGGATATGAAGTGGAACATTTAGATTGTCTGATGCAATGAGCAGTGAGGAGGAGGGGAGGGGTAGGCACCAGGGAAGTAAAGATTGGAGTGTCTGGATTTCAAATGGCAAAAGAATTTGACTGGGAGAGGAAGGAGGCAGAAGTGGGAATACATTGAATAAGAGGAAGAGTTCTTGGGGAGATGTAGAAATATAGGGAGAAGGGGGAGGGGCAGGGCAAAGGACATCACTGGAGTAGGAAGCAAGAGAAAACCTCATCACCAAGCTTCTTGTCTTGCAGACAAGGGCAGCCCCTTAAAAATATATTGATCATGGCAAGGCTAGGAACATAGACGGTAGCAGCAGGCTTCAGAGTGACAGGGCTTAGCAGGGTGGTCTGACATTGACAAGGGAGGAGTCAGTATGGTCAGACAGGGTAGGATTCTCCACCAACATAGACTTCATTAGGGTGGTCATGGCTAGAGAAGGTAATTTTGGCAATATTGGTGTAGGACTTTTGGCAGCTGCTGGGGGAGAATAGCGTAGCACTGCATCTTAGTAAATGAGGCAGGCAAGTAAGTTGTTTTCAGTCAGATCAATCCTTGTCGTAGACAGGGCAATCAGCTGTGGAGATGGAAACGGTTCCAGTACAAGTATTAAGGGAGGTATGAGGTTGGGCAGGAACAAGCTTACTAGTGAGGTCAACCATAGTAGATAGTGCATGGGCTTGGGACTCAGATGTAAGAATGATGAGGAAAGGACAATCAGAATGGCTATGGAAAACTTTACCAACTTGTTTTTGGAGACATTGTTAGAATAAGCGGGTATCGTCAAAGGAAGGAGCTGTAGGAGGGTATGAAGAGAGGGAGTGAAGAATGTTGAGTGAGGAAGGAATGTTTTCTGAGGATTGGTAAATGACCTGGGCAAATGCTTTGGAATGGACTGAGCTGACAGCAGGTTTCAAGGAAAGGGAAGTAGTAGCAGTGTTCAGTCATGATCAAAGAAGAGTCAGCATTGGGGAGCTGGAAAAGTTAAAGTCAATGGGGCTAGATGATAAAGGGACAAACCCCAATGCCCCCAATAAAGGTACAAAATCATTATTTGCCTTGGTAAGCCTGGAGTATGTACCCCTAATGGGGATCCTGAGGGATCCCCATTAGGGTAAGGCCTAGATAACGGGAATATAGAGCCCATGGCACCCTGAGGACGTTCAGGACTGACCCAAAACCACCCTTTTATCTTTTCAACATGGCTCTCACATCTTAGGAAATAAACAGAAGAGACTGGAGAAGAGAGGGAAAAGAGAAAGGGGAGAGGAAAAGATCATGCAAAATTGGTTGAGGCAAAGGGTAAGGCCCAAGGTAGAGGTGGTCCCCAACATTATTAATTACTTTTTGAGCATTTTCTGCTGCATCAGCATCTAAGGTCATTTACAGTGCATTCAAAATATAGCAATATGGGAGGCTTGGGGGCAAAGCCCCCAGGTAAATAAAGGGAATACAGCACTAAGACACATTACTGTGTCAAAAATGGGTAAAAAGGAGTTAATGACTAGGACAAAATATGTTAATGTTAAAAATTGTAGAGTGCTGTAAGTTAGTATGGTAGTGAAAAAAAAGAAGAGGGAAGAGTAAATGAAGTACAAAAGATGTTCAGGACTGACACAAAGCCAGCCTTTCATCCTTTCAGCACGGCTCTCACAGTTTAGAATGTGGACTGAAGAGAATGAAGAAAAGGAAAAGGAAGGGGTGAGAAGAAAAGAGCATACAGAATTAGCTGAGGTGAGGGATGTGATCTAGGGAGGGGTGATCCCCTACACTGAGTGTCAGTCTCTGTCTCCTCAGACCCCCCTACAACAACAATGGACATAGGATTGGGGGGGGGGGGGGTATTATTATAAATGTGATTAGTGAAGAGATGAGAGGTCAGCCACAATGGTGTATGACATTTCCCAGTGACCATGTGTTTTGTGACATGATATGAGATAGGATGGAGAGAAAAGGGAAAGCAAGGCCCAAGGTAGTAGTTAGTAGGAATAAAAAGGACCCTCTAAAGTTTAACATAGAAATAAGCTAAATAGGAAGTAGGTGTACATTTGAATAGTGGATCTCTAGCATCCTTAACACTTTATCTAGTGGAGACTGACAAGCAAAATTGAAGAAATAGGCCTAGTGCACTATACAATAAGGAAATTAACTATAAAGTCCGAGGAAACGTTTCCATACAGTAGTCAGGAAGAATAAGAGGGATAATTCAACTATAGAGAAATGTCAAAGAACAAAGGTTATGCTAGTATGGACGTTTAATATAAGAAGGGAAGAGACATTTGTAGAAAAGGGGTTATCGATGTGGATGGGAGATTGCTTCATGCAAGCCAATAACACAGCCTGGCCCATGCAACTGTTTTTACTTGTACGATATAGCTCTCTTCTTTTTTTATCGCAACCATTGTATGCCCAAGTAAATACCTTGTTTAATTGAAGGAATTTCAATGTCTTAAAAAAAAAAATAAATAAATAAAATAAAAAAATAATAAAAAAAAATAAATTTAAAAAGCAGCACCAAAATCTTATCACTACTATATGGATAATAATCTTTATACAACTACTGTCATTTCAGGTAGGTAGATTACAGTATACTTAGTAAGTTTTGACATTTTAAAAAGTTCTGCTGCCTCTGGTATTGTTTTTACCCCAAGGACAGGGTCTTTACTGCAATTACAAAAACTTTTTCCTTGAGAAAATGTGGGAAGCAAACAATTAACCCCTTTGATCCAGGTGACGTGACAATGCCGTCATGGAAAAGTTTGGGTCAAGGGCCGGGTGATGTGAACATGCTGTCATGGAACAAAATAGCCGTGGGATGTATGACACGAACTTGCCATCATAAGCAAAGGCCAGAGCGATGGAAAAGACTCGCCACAAGTGCACAAACCTTTTGGTGTCATTAGACTCATTCGGCATTTAAAAGGGAGCCTTTGCATTATTCCCATCAATAAACAAGTATGGAATGTAACGTGTGTAAGCAGTGACTAGAAGAGCACCGGCTCCAGGGAGGACACAACTTTCATGTTTACACTCCTGGCCACCACGACCAGCGGAACAGGTTGTATTACAGAATATTGAAAATTACAAAAAAGTAAAATAAATGACACAGATAACAAAATTTTACTTTTTTTTTTTTTTCTAATTGCACTGAGTTCTTTACTACATAAAGAGATTAAGTGGAGTCTGTGCAGGGAAAATAATATATTACCATCTGGATAAAGCAATTGAAAAGAAATATGGACATTGGAAAATGGCAAAAAAACTTTAAAAGTTTATGCAATGTTAATGTTTGAAAGTAAATGTGCTAGACATCAAAGGTAATATAACACTATGGTGAAGTATGGTGTTGGAAAGGGCAAAGGAGAGTTAAAGATTACCATAAAAGGTTTGAGAGTGTTATGGGATAGTATGGTAGTTAAAAGGCAAGTAGTGGAGCAAGTGAACTAGAGAAGAAATTAGTAGAAAGGGGAGAGTTAAGGAGGTAGGGTGATTGAGTGAATTATAGTGTATTTGTCACTGGGGAAGGAATAGGAAAAATGTTTAAGGAAGAAAAGAGCTGTTGAAAAACTAGAATAATCCGAGTGCAAGAAGTGCTAGATGTCAAAGATTAGAGGGAGTTATAGAAAAGTGTGGTAACAAAAAGGGAAAGTAGGGAAGTAGATGAAGTAGAGCAGTGATTAGTGAAATGGGAAAGGTTAAGGAGGTAGAGCAATCAAGTGAATTGTATTGTATCTGTGACTGGGGAAGGAATAATCCAGCGGTTACATGAAAAACTTTTTTTTAAAAAGCAATGCAGCAAGTTTTATTATAAAAGTAAAAAAGTTATAAAACTAACTTAACTGAAACATTTTCTTAAGAAAACAAAACAGCATAGTCTTACATCCTAGTATGTACAACTTAATAAAAGCCTTTTTGAAATACACTGTAAATACATTGGGACTGGACAGAAATTCAGATTCATAAGGAAATTCCTTGTACCATCTTTTCCTGCAAAGTACTGGGAAAAATTCTAAAGCAACAATAACTGATTTTGCAAAATCCACTATTAATTGCATAATTCTAAAGATCTGGAATACTGTATAATAAATGACTATATATTTAAAACATTCGCAAACACCAATTCTGCTAAGGATCAAATGCAGTTAAAATACTTCAACTCTGCAAAGTAAATATAAAATGCAGTCACTTTCCTGCACTGACTTTATATAATTATTTACTAGTAGTAAATAATGACATTATTCAAAAAATAAAACAATTCATCAACTCTTCAGAATGTTTGACGCGAGTAAACTTAGTCACCCAAACAATTATTTGTCATATAAACAAATACTATTATTCACATAGTCTGAAGGCAAAACTCAACTAAAATCTTAAACCTGTAGAAAAAAAAAAAGACAAAATTTACATTTCTAGAGGCAAGTAATTCCAGTCAATGGGCTTCTTGCCTTGTTTTTTGAGAATTTCATTACACTTCGAGAAGTGCTTGCATCCCAAGAAACCTCGATGAGCTGACAGAGGCGACGGGTGAGTTGTGTTCAAGAGGTGGTGTTTTTTCTGTACAAAATGAAAAGAAAAATAAAGTGGGTTAATTTTCATGAGAAAACAGACATAAATATACAAATATATATGTGAGATGGCTTATCTTCAAGCTTTCTTTTTCTCTACTTTTTCCTTCCCCCTCAATTTATTTTTCTCCTCTCATCTCCTTTTTTTTCTTCTTTTTTTTCTCCAGTTTCTCTCCCCTCTCCGCACTCTCCTGCCCACTTTTCTTTCTTCCTTTTTCCCCTTCTTAATCCCCTCCCTTTCCCTCCCACCCTTTCCAATACATAAACTAAAAAAATCCGTCAATGCATCCTCTGGTCTCACCTTATCTACAACAGCAGCTTTTTTCTGTGCATAAGAACCCCACAGGAGAAACACGACGCCCTTGTTGCGATCCGACACTGCCTTGATAACCGAGTCTGTGAACTTCTCCCAGCCTTGGTCTTTGTGTGAATTAGCATTGTGGGCACGGACTGACAGGCAAGCGTTGAGGAGCAGAACGCCTGAAGATTGGGAGCATATTCGTAATTGAAATTTTGATGCACATTGAATAACATGTTTTCTGATTCTACTGCTTTGCTTTCATTTTGGAAAATTGTGCAAGCAAATGTAAGAAGCAAACATATTAGTTATGCAATAAGGTAATGTTAATAATTGTTGATGATGATTGATGACGATGACGTTGAGGATTGGTGTTGATGAGTGATAACAATGATAATCAATTTCATTGTCATCATCACAATAATAACAACAATAATAATAATAATAATAATAATAATAATAATAATAACTATAATAATAACTATAATGATGATGATAAACCAGTAATAACAATAAAACTTATAAAGCAACAATAATGATGATAATGAGAACAATGATGATGATGATGATGATGATGATGATGATGATGAGATGATGATGAAGACAAAGATGTTGACAATAACAATAATCATTACAATAATAATTATAACAACAACAATAATAATAATATCAACCTATGAAACTAATGACAATGAAAATGATGATGATAATGATATTACTACAAATAATAACACCCTTTTCTTCATTTACCTTGTTTTGCCCAGCCAATTAGATGCCCATGAGAAGGCCGCTCAAAGCCTTCAATATCTGATTCAAGCTCTTTGTACATGTTCAACAAACTGAAAGTGGGGGAAAAATATTCAATGACAATATCATTTCATGAATGTTAAATGTTTGAAACAAATAAATGTGTTAAGACATAAGAGGTCGTGTAGCACTATGGTAACATTTTGTCGGAGAGGGTAAAGAGTTAAAGATTACAATAAAATGTGTTAGATGTCAAAGATTAGAGTGTGTTATCGGATAGTACAGTACTGAAATGGGGAAAAAAGGGGGTAAGTGAACTAGAGCAGAGATTAGAAAGGGGAGGGTTAGGGAGGTAGGGGGCTTGAGTGAATTATAGTGTATCTGTCACTGGGAAGGTAGAGGAAAAATGTTCAAGGAAAAATAGAGATGGCTGTTGGAAAAGTAGAAAGAATCCAAAAGTGTTACATGTCAAAGATTAGATTAGGTGTTATAGGAAAGTACTGTAACAAAAAGGGGAAAGAGGGAAGTAAATGACGTAGTGCAGGGATTAGTAAAATTGCAAAGCTTAAGGGCGTAGAACGATAGGGGATGGAATAGGGACATTGTTCAAGGAAATCAGAGGTGGTTGTTGGAGAAGGAGAATAATTTGGAGTATGAGAAAGGTGGGAATGAGAATAATTTGGAGGATGAGACTGGCGAAGGTGGTGAAGTATCAGGAAGAATGTCTGGAGGAGAGTGGTCTGGAGAAAGACGCTGTTGTGATAGAGGGGCGAGTATTCAAGTGGGAGCAGTAGAGAAGGTGGGGTATGTTGGGAGGGTGTAGGAGGAAGGGGGGGGTTGATGGAACTTGAGGAGGAGGAGGATGGATATCTGTAAATACTTTAAATGTAGAAGGAGTAGGAACAGAGGGAGTGGATGGCTTTAAGGATTTCTGGAGGGGAGTTGGGTGAAGAGGACTGAGAAACAAAGGTTTTTTTATGAGGAGAAGAAAAGGAGACAGATATCTAAGGAGCAGAAGAAGAGGAAGATGAAAGAGGGTGGAGTGGAATGTTTAGGTTGCCTGGTAAGACAAATAATGGGAGGAGGAGGGGGTAGGCATTGGAGAAGTGGTAGAGATTGGGGTATCTGGGTTTAGACTGGAAAATGAATTTGACTAGGGGATCGGGTGAGTAGGCGTAAGATGGTTTAGGGTATGGGGAGAGATACTGAGGGAGATGCAGAAACATCTTGTAAAGATGGTGGGGGAGCAGAGCAAAGGACTATTTTAAAATAATTTGACAAAGAAAAACCTTGTCGACGTGCTTCTTGTCTGGCATCACATATAGTGAGGCCCAGTTTAAATCTGAGAACTGCTACCTCACATTTGAGCTTATAGTCAGGGCAGTTCCTATAAAATACATTATGGGAGTCTCCAATATTGGTACATGTATGTAACTAAACAGGGCGATTTGAACGGTCATGACCAGGTTGTAACATAGTGGGCAGGTGTGGTTGTGGACTGATAGTGTTTGGCTGGGTGGCCAAAACGCCCACATTTCTGACATTAGCGAGAAAGGGATCGAAATGGTCGGACATGGTAGCACAATCCACCAATATAAAGCTCATGGGGGAGGTCCTGTTTATGGAAGCTAATCTTGGCAATACTGTCATCGGACTTACACTGGTCTCTGTGAGGAATAGTGTAACACTGTACTGTCATTGCATCATATTCAGCAAGGCAGGTAATTAGGTTATTTTCCCAGTCTGACCAGTCCTTGTTGCAGATGGGACAAGCATTTGGGGGAATAGAAACAGTTCCAGTACAAGTATTCAGAGAGAAGTAAGGTTCAGCAGGAATGGGTTTGCCAGCAAGGTCAGTTAGGGTAGATATTACACAAGCTTGGGATTCAGATATAACCGTAACGAGGAGTGAATGATCAGAGTGACTGCAAAAGGTAATTTGCCTAATTGTTTCTGAAGGCACTTGAAAGAGAAGGGTATTCTCAGAACAGGGGGCTGTAGGGGGAATCACAAAGAATTGATCCCACTTGGCTGGGCCAAAAAGAGTTACCTCCAGAAGAAAGTGTTTTGCAGAGCAGCGGTAGAGGCTAGTTAGAAGACATAAAGGACAAGCGGCGGGAAGGAAGACGGTACCGAGCGCGGCGCTTGTCTGGATACCTGCTGTCCCGTCGGCGCGGTTGGTGTGGAGTGGATAGCAGCGGTTCAGATATTACATAGAGATAGGGGGTTCTGAGCGGCGACAACTATAGAGAAGTTCCCACGCGCGCACTGTAATAGTTCTCAGTTAATTAATGGAACAAGGGGTAGACACTGAAGAGCGGACTGTGCAGTTAGATAAAGAGGCAGAATCTTGGAGGAGAGGATAGGCGGTACTTATCCTGTAGGATGTTGGTTGCTACATTAACCTAGCTTCCGGCCGCGTTACCTGTTCTTTGGAAGTGGTCCTCTATAGCTTGGCGCTTCGCGGTGTCGTCTGTAAGCATCAAATGATGGCCAGTCTACATTAGTATCCATGGCAGAGCCTGCACGATGTCGAAGGAGGGGACCTGGGTCGAAAAAACCATTAAACATCATCAAAATTAGATAGAGTCTAACGTTTGCATGAAGCTGATGTAGGTGAAATGGCCTTGAATACCCCTTATTAAGGGATTATATAAGAATTCTTCCATTATTGGCCAAAGGTGAGCCCCTCCTGAGTGCCCAATGCACCGAACCGACGTTCACATAACGATGGAGTGCCATCTGACAAGGGCGAAAGCAGAATACCGTACCCATGGGCAGCTTTAATATCATGTATCAGAGCCTTTCACTGATTCGTGCACCAACTGTCGATACTTATAAAATCGGATGCCTTCTACAGACACCTGTCGTTTTCTGCTTCAACTATGCGCTTCTCATCACCCTAACAGTTGTGATCTCCTGGATTATGGCACGGCATAAGCGGATATGGTAATCTTCACCGCCTGTCTTGACATCTGCTCCGGCATGAATCACGAATTGATGGATTAGAAGGGAATGAAGATATTTGGGAAAAGACAGATACGGATAGGAGAGAAAGCCCACACATCCAAGAAAAATTCAGTCTTGATTGCGAAGTCCTGAGGCCCAAGATACCTAGGCGAGGTGATCTCTCGTATATTGCGGGGCCTCCAGGTCTTCTCGGTTCTCCTCAAGCCCCGATCCACACACAAGCAAGCCCCTATCTGTGAGCGGTTGCTATTACATGAAGCAAAAAGCAGGTCCCATATCCATGGGTGTGACATAAGAAGACACATTGGAAGATTATTTATGTTCAGCACTCTCCATTGTAGAGGACATTGAATTTCATCCTGCGCAAATCAGAAAATATAGTGGCACACGTAATGTGATACATATAAAGAACTACACAATAAATACTAGTTAGTATGGAACAAATGCTTCTGAAGATCGTGTCTCTGCTAGAGCTATCTATTCTAAGAAACAATCCATAACGCATCCAAGACAATATTCACAGAAGATAGCGGCGAGAATCAATCCACGTTTAGGACAGCCTGCATATCCTCACTTTAACAATATGTCATTTCACATCTTTCAAATATAAGTTAGAGTTTTGATTCGCCTGCGGATAGAGCAGGTTAAATATATCTTCTCATCTTTCAAATAAAGTAGGTTTGCCTGGATTGGTGATCAAGTTTAACTTTGACATTTCTCTTACATTAGTTATTGGCAGGCATTTCTTCAGATTACATTCAATTACTCTCTCCTACCTTGGAGGTGGTGGTACGCCCTTCTGCACACTAAAGCAGAGACCATGAGCTTGCCTTGGCCCATGGTATGGATCCTGGCCTAAGATAACTACTTTCACATCACGCAGCTCGCAGTGGTGTGTCCAGGAATATACTTGTTCGGCTGGAGGAAAGATCGTGGACCTCTTGCGCTCGCCATCCAGGAAAAGGCTAAGCTGTGTGTATAGTGTTAAGATCAGTCCTGGAATTCCTTTAGCTGGGCACAGAGTTGCTCAAAGGTACAGCATGATTATCAAGAAGTAATTACACGATAACAGGAAACAATGAAAAATTATCAAGAATTACAAAATAACAGGAAACAAGGAAAATAGATTTACAGAATAAACAGGATCAGTCTTGATGGCACTGTCATAAAAAAGAAAGAAAGAATGAAAGATGCAGTAACAGTAAAACCAGGGTCAACTGCTCAATCTGTCACTTCAGAAAAGTTTTCAATCATAGTGTACTTGAATGCCATAAAGACAAAAATCAAGTTTATTCTATATGATGTGCAAGGGAGGTAGTTACCCATATTTGCACAGCAGCGCAGAAAAAAAGATAAATAGAATATCTGTAATCCATTTATCAGAATTATACCGACTAAAAAAAAAAAGGGTTTTATCTACAACTGGCAAAAACTATGACCAATACCTTTAAACCAGATAGCCCAGATAAAAAAAAATGTTAGAAAAAATTGTATAACCATACTAAGAGTCTGACTAGTTTCATACTACATAATTCAAGTTAAAGACAGAGAGGGGAAGTAAGCACATATGAAACTTGCTGGGGAAGCCAACAAAATATTATGGAGATTAATGTAAAACAATGCTAGATTGTAAATGGTTGTAGGTAAAAAGAAGACAATACAGTGCTTAATTAGAATAAAAGGGAAAAAGTATATGCTAATGAATTTATCCAATCATGCAGCATGATAATATGTGGTAAAGCAGACAGGAATAGAATCAGATTAGTAAGCAACAACAACAACAACAACAAAAAGCTTCTTAATGTTTTATCAGAACCAACAAGATTAACAAACAACAACAACAAAAAAGAATAAAGAAAAAAAAAATAATTACTTCTTAATGTTTTATCAGTAAAGGATACAGTTAATGTACATTTAACTATCATAGGTTACTTTCTTTAATCTCTGTGCAATGTCTAACCACAGCAATGATATCACTTGTATAACTAGGAGAAAAAACTGGAAAAATTAAGATATGACTACCATTAAAATTAAACACTCAGAATGACATTATCTTCTATTGACAGCTATTTATAATGATGGGAATTATGGTTTCAGAAAGATATCAGAAAAATACTTAAATACTTTCAAAACATACTTCCAAGAATTATATATTCAAACAAAAAAAGGAATTTAATTAACAAAAAAAAAAAAAAAAAATAAATAACAGCAACAACCAGACACATCAAACAAAAAAGAAACTGATAATAGAAAAAAATAACAGCAACAACCAGAAACATTCAGTATCAAAGAGAAAATGCTAAAGAGAAAAAGAATACTTGGGAAAATGCAAGCCAAGATCTTAGTGTAGAATATTAATGACTGAATGTAGGAAGATATAAAAAACAAAGGAAGGAAAGAGGCACACCGTGGAAAAAGCTAAAGCAACATCCATTTCTAGGGCTTATTAAAGACTATGTGAAGAATGGATTTAAAATGTATTATAGGAAATTTTGCAGAAAGAAAAAAAAGGTCTTTCTTAAACAACAATGCTTATACATGAGAGAGAGAGAGAGAGAGAGAGAGAGAGAGAGAGAGAGAGAGGAGAGAGAGATTAGAGAGAGAGAGAGAGAGAAGAGAGAGAGAGAGAGAGAGAGAGAGAGAGAGCGAGAGAGAGAGAGGAGAGAGAGAGAGAGGAGAGAGAGAGAGGAGAGAGAAGAGAGAGAGAGAGAGAGAGAGAGAAAGAGAGGGAGAGGAAGAGAGAGAGGGAGAGAGAGGAGAGAGGAGAGAGAGAGGGAGAGAGATGGAGAAGAGAGAGCAGAGAGAGAGAATGACGAGACGAGAGAGCAAAAGAGAGAAGAGACGAGAGCATCCAGACTGACGAAAGAGTGAGCAAGAGGACGAAAGGGAGAGAAGAAGAGAGAGAGGAGAGATGAGAGGGGGGGGGGGGGAGGGCATGGGGGGGGGACGAGAATAGCAAAAAATAGCAAAAATTGCTGATAAAACCATTTAGCTATAGAACCTCTGACTAGTTTTTCATACTACATAATTTGATTTAAAGACAGAGAGGGGAAGTATAGCACATACGAAACTTTAACTGGGTTAAGCCAACAAAATATTATGGAGATTAATTTGAAAACAATGCTAGCATTGTAAATGTTGTAGGTAAAAGAAGACAAATACAGTGCTTAATTAGAATAAAAGGGAAAGAGTATATGCTAATGAATTTATCCAATCATGTAGCATGATAATATGTGGTAAAGCAGACAGGAATAGAATCAGATTAGTAAGCAACAACAACAACAACAACAAACAAATCACTTCTTCATGTTTTATCAGTAAAAGGATACAGTTAATGTACATTTAACTTTATAAGGATACTTTCTTTAATCTCTGTGCAATGTCTAACCACAGCAATAACATCACTTATATAACTAGGAAAAAAAAACTGAAAAATTAAGATATGACTACCCATTAAAATTAACACTTCAGAATGACATTATCTATGACAGAATTATAATGATGGGAATTATGGTTTCAGAAAGATTTTCAGAAAAATACTTTCAAGAATTATATTTCAAACCAAAAAAGGATATTAATTAGCAAGGAAAAAATAACAGCAACAACCAGAACATCAAACAAAAAAGGAATTAAAAAAAAAAAAAAAAAAAAAAACATCAACAACCAGAAACATCAAATAAAAAAAGGAATTGATAATAGAAAAAATAACAGCAACAACCAGAAATATCAGTATCTAAAAGAGAAAAAGAATTACTTGGGAAAATGCAAGCAAAAGATCTTAGTGTAGAATATTAATGACTGAATGTAGGAAGATATAAAAAAACAAAGGAAGGAAAGAGGCACACCGTGGGAAAAGCTAAAGGCAACATCCATTTTCCTAGGTTTATTAAAGGCTATGTGAAAGAATGGATTTAAAAATGTATAGGAAAAATTTTCCTGCAGAAAAAAATATCGTCTATTTCTTTAAACAACATTGCTTATACATATAGAAGAGAGAGAAAAGAGAGAGAGAGAGAGAGATCGAGAAGAGCAAGAGAGAGAGAAGACAGAGAGAGAGTAGAGAAGAAGAGGAAGAGAGAGGAGGAGCAGAGAGGGGAGAGAGTTGGGATGGAGGGGGGCGAGGGTGGGGAAAATGAAAAAATACGAAAACATTGATAACCATACTAAGAATCTGACTAAGTTTCCATACTACATTTAAATTGAGAGGTTAAAGACAGAGAGGGTAAGGTAAGCAGATACGAAACTATACATGTGGGAGCCAACAAATGATAGGGTTATTTAATAACAATGCTTAGATTGGTAAATGTTAATGTGGTAAGAAGAAAGACCTAATACAGTGCTTAATTAGAATAAAAGGGAAGAGTATATGCTAATGAATTTATCCAATCATTATGCTAGATATATGTGGTAAAGCAGACAGAATAGAAGATGAGATATCTAAGCAACAACAAAAACGAACAACAACACAACAACACAACAACAAAAAAGCTTCTTTAATGTTTTATCAGTAAAGGATACAGTTAATGTACATTTAACTATTAAAGGTTACTTTCTTTAATCTCTGTGCAATGTCTAACCACAGCAATGATATCACTTGTATAACTAGGAGAAAAAACTGGAAAAATTAAGATATGACTACCATTAAAATTAACACTTCAGAATGACATTATCTATGACAGCATTATAATGATGGGAATTATGGTTTCAGAAAGATTTCAGAAAAATACTTCAATACTTCAAACATACTTCAAGAATTATATATTCAAACAAAAAAGGAATTAATAACAGAAAAATAACAGCAACAACCAGACACACAAACAAGAAAAATAGAATTAAAA